GCGGCGGCTCCCTCTCCTCTCCGGCAGTCTAAGCAGCTTTCCCGTCCATGCTGGTGAGAAACATCTGCATCCCGTCTGCCTGCAGTCCTCAGACATCCTTTGAAACTGGAGCTTCACTTGCACACAGCGCTGCACAGCTCCACTGGAATGCATACAGTCATGCTCACACATACACACACAAACGTGCACATAACAGCGAGAGCAGCGGTGGCATTCTGCAGTGCACCTGCTATTCCTGTCTCTTTGCAAAGGAGAGCTCAAACTCGACCTTGGAAGATGAGAATGGAGGATTGCAGAGTGTGCAGGCAGGCTGAAGGACTGAGCTACGGAGCTGCTAAAGGTAGGGGGCGAGGGCAGGAGGGAACATGATTGATGAGGAGAGAGAGAGGAGAGAGAAAGGAAAGAGAATGGGGGCACAGCTGCTGAATGAGCAATGCAAACGTCATACAAAGGTACGTGTGAAGCATGAGCAAGCGCTCTAATCTAAATCCCAACACCACGTTTTTTAGGAATTACATAACTCAGTCATTTGTCACTTTTCTTCACATTATATATAGAAAGAAACTGAACAAAAAATGGGACAGAGGTGGCTGAATAACCAGGCTGCACACATAAATAAAGGAGACATAAAATATGAATGAATTCTCGGGATGAATGCATTGTGCGCCCGGTCCTACAGGGAGAGATCCTGCTGCAGCCAATGGCAGCTGACTTATTCAGAGGGATCAGCAAAGAGCCACATGGGAGCAGATTTTGATAATCCATGCAGGGACAGAATTGTGGCCCTTTTATTAGTGGTTAAAATGATTTGTGTATTTGATCTAATCCATGCCATGGTGACCTTCACATAGTCAGAGCAAAGAGATAAGCCTAAATGTAATGAGCAGTTTACACACACAGTCACCTGCTGTTTAACAGGCATCAAGTGACACAAGAATACAGTGAGAGATGTACTCAATAGTTCTTAAACTGTTATCAAAATGTGGTCCTGTACTCGCAATCCCATTGACTAAATTGAGACATAGACTCATCAAAACAATAAAATGAGGACTTACAAACATACATTTTCCATTTATTTCAATGAAAACACACAAACTGCTGACTTAGCTCCTGTAATATAATGTTAAAGTCCCCCTCCACTCACAAATATGTTTTTCTTCTTGTTCCTACAGTTGGATGTTTGAGCTCCACTGTGCAGACCGATGTATGCACTAGAAGGATGTTTTAACATTTAGCTGCTGAAAGTGGAAACATTTTAGGGGCGGGACCTACAGTCAGTGTTACAGTGTTTTTACAATTTGTTATTTCACAAATTTGGAAGTCAAACCTCCATCCAGTTTCCAACTTGTACAAGTGTGATGTAGAAACTTGAAGCCGCCAGTGCACAAACACTGAGAATGGACTACAGTGAAGTAGGAGACATATTGATTCTACTAATTTTTTTCCTAAAAATAACTGGAGATGCTTTTTTCTTCTCTATTACATTACACTGTAATTATATCATGAAGATATGAAGCACAACAAAAACTGGGACATAAGAATGTGTTGGAGTGTCATCTTTAATTTAGGCAGAATGGGAAAGTTTGGATTAACTGTGAGAATGGTGAGAATGCGATGTGAGGAAAAACTAGGTTGGATTGTTTGCGTTAATGATGCCATTAAGAGTTTGAAACAGTGGGCGCCAGATACTTCCTGAAGACAATTTACAATTTTCCTTTTCAAACACGGATTACTATTTTAGTCAAATTTTAAAAACAAATTTTTTACATTACATTACATTTTGGCTGTAAGGGAAAAAATTTGGTGTTCTTATATTCACTGAAGGTAAAAAAAAAAAGCACTTTGGAAGCAATAAAATAGGAACAACACACCAGACATAGCTGAAAGTGAAGAAATTCCAGTTCATTTTTCATTTCACACCCAACATGAGGAGTTCACAGCAACTGCAGGCATGTCCCCTCACTTCCTGTCACACATTAATTCTTACTTGTGAAACCATCCTTACACCAGTAAACAGTTGGACAGTACATGGGGTTTCTTTAATGAATAAAGCCCAGGAGACTTCTATTTCCATAAACAACTGTTAATCTGTTAATCAAAACGGCACAGCACAGCACCAGATATTATATCAACAGCAGATTCACCAACTAAATGAGAATTCATCTTGGAATATACTACCAGCATCAGCACCTCAACTAAAGATTTTTTTTTTATCACGCAATGTGTCTTTAATAGTATTCTACAGCCGGGATAACTGGCCGGGTTCTAGTTCTGTAGTTGCCCTACATCAGAGATTAGTCCTGTCCATCACTTGGTAGCCTGGGGAGAGTTGAAGCATTAGTGTGTGTAGAAAAAAAGAGTGTTGAGCAGCAGTGGAAGGGCAGCAGCGACTCAGAAAGCCACTCAGAGAGAAAAAAAACAACCCAGCAACAGGAACTAAAGGTTAGGGTATAGCAGGGGGGGGGGGTCTTATTCCAGCAAAGACCACTAACAATGCATTCCTAAAATCATTAAATATCACAACAGCCCCCCCACCCCCCAAAATAGACACTGCCATTGTCATGTGGTGACTTCACATCTTTGCCACAGTCCCACAGATACAGACTGATGCCAGCTAAATATATCAGGTCTGGTAGAGTAGAGTGTGTGTACTTAAATACTGTGATCATTTTGTTTTGTAGGAGTAAAGTGAGGGTGAATGATGAGTCATGCATCGGTAAATCTATCTTGTAGGTCTCTCTCCCTCTCACCTACTAAAAGAAGAGGTGGTGGTGGGGTGGTAATTGTGTTCCTGCTCATCTTTTATAAAACTGTTCTCCATCTGGCTGTGAAAATGTGTTACCACAATCTCTAACAGCCCTGCCGCGAAACCAGCACATCCAATATTTCACACCCTCCCATAATTGCCCACTAGAAATTAGCCCAGAATGATGTATGGTCCCATGGCAGGAAGACACAGGGATACCTTGACTAACTATGACCTGGAATGACTTACAGGATCATTAGATAGTCTGCAAATGAAACAGCTCTGTCCCCAGTGGATATGTATATGTATGGGATTGAGGAAATGCTGTGCATGTTTCATGAAATACTAACAGTGCAGCCCAGTATTCAACAGTGAGAGCATCGATCGGTGTGAGCGTCCAGGTGACACAGCCAGCAGCACTTACCGGTTTATACCGTGAGATCATGGTGTTTCCCTGAACTCCCAAAAATCACTCTTCAGCACTGTCACATCCGCCGCTTGGGATGGTAGGAAAAAAGAAAAGAAGAAGGGGTAAAAGTCTTCAGAATCGCTCAGCGTGCAGCCGGCTCCCTGCTCTCCTGCTCGGTGTTTGACGACCCAACCGCAGGCGGCGGTTTAAAGTTGGAGGCGGGGAGCTGTCCACGGTGCTGAACCCGGGTACCGAGGAGGAGGAAGAGGAGGAGGAAGAAAAAGAGGGCAGATCTTCTTCCACCCCAAGGCCACCTTTGGTCTCTGTCATGAAACGTCGACCGTGGGGTCGGGAGTGGGGGGGTCGCTCAATCAGACACACCGCAGCGGTCGATGCGACGCTGAAACACGCGGCGGACAGTGGTCACTTATGCCATCCTGAACCCGGAGTGGATTACTGCACAGAGCGGTTATATAACTGTAAAGTGGGATGCTGCACAGCAAAGCATCACATATGTAACATTACATGATGCACTGCTCTGCTTTCTCTGACTTTTATTTTTCCATTTAAGATTTAAAAAAAATTACATTTAACACAATTGACTCTGAATATAAATCTGATCCAGGCCCATCTAATGATATTCAGGTTTATTACGAATTATAAACACGGTTGGGTTCTCTATCATTTAGTGAGTAGCTTGATATTCAAGAAGGAGCACTATTGCCCCCTGTGGACATTTAATTAAAGAACTGAATGGCTCCCCGTGCTTGAAGTAAATCGAAGCAGACCAACTTAAAGAAGGTGAATAAATCCACAAGAGAGGACGTGATGCAGGAGAGCAACTTTGTTTAACTGAAGCCCCTTTTAAATGAGAAGAATACTGTTCATCCACCTTCAACACAACCTTACATTGTGTCTTAGTGATTTAACGTCATTCCTCCTCGGTAGAAAAAGTGAGTACAATTCTGTCCAATTGCATCTGCACCTGGATTACTGTTGACAACTGAGGCTTAGAGCTTTTTCTTATGTTTGTTAGTCAGCTCTCCAAGTCTCTCACTTTCTGCTACTCTTTTCTGTATTTCTCTATAGCATGGACCACATTATCACAGAATTCTGGCTTTCAATAGTGCTGATTAGTGCTTTATTCTTAAATAAAATCACAGAAATGTACACTTAATCTTGTATGTTTTTTCCTGAAAATGCTGATAATGTTGGCTGTTTGTCTTGTATAATGTTGAAACAAGCGACAAAGAGAAAGCAGAAAATGTGTATGCACAACAGACACTCACTTCTGTGATGGTGAGCAGTCCTTTATTAGGGCTTTGAAAAAGGCAGATCAGATTAGAGAGCTTCTATTGATTACAGTTTGCCTGTTTTAACTTGCCCTTCATTGTTTTACCAACTGATGAATCACAAGTCTGAAGGGAAAGATCAGCGTCGTCATGCACGTCTAACTGAGGTCAACCATGTCCAGGCTTGACAAAGGTGAGGAAGATTACAGGAGACAACTAAATATTGACAGGTTCATCCCTCAACAGGCAGAGACAGTGAGAATGCCTATTGACCGCATGGTGTTAATGTCTTTAAGCATGACACAAGGCTTAATTTTTAAAGAGCATAGGGAAGTGGTTCTCAAACTTTTTCTATAATTTCGTCAAGTGAGGACCCCTCACTGACTGACATATTTTATGGATATTTCATATTATATTCAAAACAATACAATTAAGCCAACTACTGAACTCTGCAGGAAGTTTGTGTAAAATGAGTGATTTGGCTAAATTCTGAGCAGATTATTTCATTTTTGGGGAATTTTTTATACAATTCTCAACCTGTATTATGTATTTTTTTTATTTGTATCTTATTTAAACAATCATACATACTTAATAGGCTTCTCTTTTGACAGATTCAGTGTTTTCTTGCCCTTGACGCTTGGCCATTGCGCTATTTGACAATTTTTTCTTTACATTTACATTTCTTCACAGAATTGAACCAAATGCTGAGATACAGGCTTACTGAGTTTTCTTACACCCCTTAAAATCAAGAAGGCCTCGCGACCCCCCCATTAAGCTTTGGCGAGCCCTAGGGAGGACCACTGGCCTAGGGTAATGATAAGTAAAAACTGAAAACCATCTTCAGCTTGTTTGTTAACAGGTGAATGTGACGATGAAGAGGAAAGAGAGTTATTTTATTGTGATCAAGAAGACGGTGAATCCAGAAAGAATCATCAGCAATAAAAAGCTTCTTGGTTTTCTTGGCAGGCTGTTGATGAGATTAGAAGAACGTCCTGCACGAGAAAAAAGAAGAATTAATTATTAATATGTGAGATAAGAGCAGAGCTACTTTTCAGTCAGTCAAACTTTAAGTAAGTCCACTTTATTAACTGGACATGGAGAAATGTGTGAGGAAAGCCTTTTATGCTTGCTCCGGTCACTGCACATTAAACACAACAGACAAACACACATGCAAGTGATATTTAGATAATCAGGGCTTAATCTTAAACACTTTATCATGTCAATGTTAAAAAATAACTTTGATCAAACTCTGGGAACATATTATTTTTACTGTAGCAGAGGGGAAATCCTTGCTCCAGTACCACGCAGTGTCACTTAGTGTCTATGTATGTCAGAACATGTAACAGTCCCGTGGAACAACATCAACCAGAACAACTGCTGAAGGCTGGCAGGAGTCCTCGGCTGCTTGTATGAGTGGCCATGACCTGAAGACACAGGACAATACCACTGAGGCCACACATGTGGGTATGTGTTTATATACGGCTCCCTGGGTCGTGATTTGACAGATATATGGTGGTATGGGTCACTGATCGCATTAGTTTGAAATGTCTTCACTCAAATAGCATGCCTGTATTGTTGTGGAGCACATGCTTCAGCAATAAAGAAACATTGCCTTGAGGCATTTTTGAAATACAAAAAAGGAAAGCTGCGCAGTGTGTGCTGTATACATTCACTGTCACGCTAGCTTTTTGTGGACAGACATAAATCTGATAGTTTGACAAAGGTGAGGGCAAAGACATAGCAAAAATACTCTGCTTGTTTGCTTCTGATTGACAGGGAGACTGTCACATGTGCTCAAAATGGGCAGAAACAAAAACAAATGCCACACCAAACCTCCGCCTGTGAGACGTGCAGTGAAGAGGAGGAAGGCTAAAGTCGATTACCAGGACGAGGGTGAGGTGGGAGGAGAGGGAGGGCTAGTGCCGAAGCAGGTAGCCGTGTCTGTACAGTGTTGCACTGCCTTCAAACACCTTTCTGTTCAAAGTGGGACTGAGTGATGCTGACTTTGGGCTGCGTACACGTGCACACACACACACAGACACACAAGCCACACTGTCACATACTGTATACTATAGTACAGGCCCAGTTTGATGAGATTACGGCCTAAACGCTCACAAAAATGTTTCAGAGAATAACAGTATATGTGAAAATGTCATTTGGATGAGAACATAAATCATCAGGAATGCTTACACTTCATCTTCATATTCTTTCGGAGGGGAAACAGCGATTACAACATCGATCCAGTCCTAAAGGTAAAAACAAACATTTATTTTTCACTTCATAGAATCAATAAAAATAAAAAATAATCCAGCAGCCTGACTGAATCTACCAGTAAGAATGTGACAACAACGCGCACTGGGCTGATGGGGTTCAGCTATAATCAATAAAACAGCCTCGTCAGCAGGGTAAATGACATCTATCCTTTGAAAAACTAAGTATAGCATCACTCTAATCTGAACCCTACCCCTCCACTGCTCCAGGCTCGAGCCAGAGAGTTTTGTCCTTCAGTCAATGTGGCATCGATCAGGATCTTCCCATTCACAGCCATAAGTTCATCCCCAGGTACGATGCCACCTACAGACAGACACATCGGAGACGGTTAACTGACAAACATATTTATTCACAACACTGCCACACAGAGAACCCGCTGCAGAGATAAACATGAATCTCTACATCAACTCAAGTCCAAAGCAGTGCATGTAACTGTATACAGACTAGGGAAAGTTAACAAGCATGTGTCATGCACTGACATCCTGATATTGTGCATAATAAATTGTACCTAATAAAAACTCCCTCCTTATATTTCACCATGGAGACAGTAATGATACTATAATAATAAAGTACAAATACAGGCACATTCTGTCCACACAATAAACATAATGATTTACTTTTATAGAAGCAGTATGACTAATGTTCTGACATTACATATGTTTGCATTGCAAATATGTTGTCAGTGGCTGAAGGAACATGAAGTCTAGACTTAAAGGTCCAATGTGTAACATGTTGGAGGGTCTATTGGCACAAATGGAATATAATATCCATCAGTATGTTTTCATTAGTGTAAAATCCCCAGGAAATAAGATTTGTTGTGTTTTGGTTACTTTAGAATTAGCCTTTTTTTATCTACAGACGCCATGGGTCTTCTGTAGACGTTGTCATGTTGAACTGCTGAGTTTCTACAGTAGCCCAGAAGGAACAAATCAAACACTTGCTCTACATAGGGCCCTTCACGTTTTTCACGTGTTTCGCAGCCACCATAGTTTCTCCCTTGCAGTCCATTAATTGGCAATTTATTAGGCACACACTACAGTATCTTAGTGAAGTTGAATGTTTTGGTTTAAACACTGTTTTAGAATGAGGAGTTGGAGAATACAGTTTGTGGAGCATATTTGGTAAATGGACTGCATTTATATTGCACCTTTCTTGTCTTGCGACCACTCAAAGCACTTTACATTACATGTCCACACCCACCCAGTCACACACTGATGGCAGAGGCTGCCATGCTAAGTGCCAATGGTAGCTACTGCTCAACAGAAACAGAAACTAATGCTCATTCGCATTCACACACCAATGGCACAGCCTCTGGACCAATTTGTTGTTTAGTATCTTATCCAAGGACACTTCAGCTTGCGGATATTGAGTGGTGTTTCTAATATTCAAATTGTTTTCCCTTGGAAGCAACTTGAAGAAATAAGTTAACTTGTCATTAAGTTGAAATTTGAAAATAAAACATGAACTGACCGTGCTTATCTGCAGCACCACCTTCATACACAGAAGACACCACCAACTTCCCCAATGGAGAGTCAGCACCTCCCTCCAGAACAACATCAAGCTGTCCAACCTTAAGTGGAATAAATCCAAACATCAACACCATCAGTCATGTTTTAGAATATCTTACTTTAACAGTGATAAGCCTGATGAGATTCCTCTTATCATTTAACTGAGTTATCCGAAGTGAAGACAGAAGATGCAGTCGGTACCTTTTTGATTCTCAGCAGTCTCACATCTCGCCCGTCTATCTGGTCCGAGGAGAACTATTAACAAATGAAGGGTTGTAAGAAAGAAGAGCACAAAACAACACTGCAGTTGCATAGTAAGTAGTGAAACAACACTACTCTCTGAATATGTGTATGGTCTTGCTCACAAAAAATATAACAATATGCCAACCCCTAAAGAGAGGACTGCTGCTCTGCTCTAATAATTATTAATGTTCTTCAGAGAAACTGGATATCTCCCTTATAAAAAAAAACATTTTAATTTTAAGCAGTTAAAGTTTAATAATTAAGCTTAATTTGCTATATTTGACCCACTAGCTGGCTACTGGAAGTAAGCTCATTTAGCAGTTAATGCAGTTATTGTGTAATATTATTGTGTAAAATTTCAGCTGTTAGATTTGTCTTAATTGTTGCGGTGATTCTAGTTTTAAGGCAACAATTGATGCTGTGGGAATAATGTCAACACATTTTGTAACCTTTAGCAACATTGTGGTTAATTGATTCTTATGTAGCAGCAGACACACAATGTTAACACTTCTAGTTAGCAATCACTAAAACCTTGTTAGCTGCATTGTTGTAGTGCTAACAAGGTATACAATACCATGGAGTAGGGATCAAATTCTTCCTCGTATTTCTGAAATCCCTGAAAGAGAATCAACATGCAGTTCATTAAAACGGATCGATAATGTCATTAGGCAGTAACAAACAGGGCATAAAGACAAAAAGGAATATCTAAGAAACCTCACGTGACAACAAGTCACTGCATGGAGTGCAGGTCAGATTTCCTTTGACAACCAGTTCTTTGCTAACGTCTGAATACCACTCTGAATAAATGGACACCATGGAGACACTGGCAGCGGCTTTTAAAGCCTCACACTTTAATTCAATTCACAAATAAAAATTATTCCTAATGATTTCAACCAACGACGACAGCTATTTCATTTCAAGGGAAGGAAATAGAAAGTGACATCACATTCATCCAGCTACAAGGACTCAAGGTCATTTTTCTCCCTGCAGAATAAACACACATTAATCTAACTGTTCATTTCCTGTTGTTGTGCAGACACTCAACATTGGACATAAAAAATGAACTTGTTTGTAATATATGCATTTATTTGTCATGGCTGAGCCGGCAGTTGAAAACAACATAACCAATATTATTAACAGATACATTGAATTAAATAAGATTGATGTTTTGTCTCTGAGCAAAGTGAGGGTACGTGACAACCAGCTTCCTTTATTTTAGTAATGCAACCTGCACCAACCCATGTAGAGAGACAGATTACGATCACTTCAAGTCTTGGCTGAGCCTTTCCAGGACAGTCCTCGACATAGAAACCATCTCCATTGCCAGTGACGATCAAAACCAAACCACAACACATGCATTCCCACACTATGTGTTCACAGTACTATAGTGTGCTGCAAATCAATAGAAGCACAGTTGTGCATAAGCGACACAACTAGACCTAAAGGCAGTGATGCAGCCAACACAGAGAAGAGATAATGAAAACAATTGAGGAAGAGGCATCACTGAGGCTCCAGTCAAACATGAGGAAACCTGATTGAGTGAGTATGGAGACAAAAAATGCAGAAAGAACAGGGGACAAAAGCACTCAACAGTAAATTAAGACAGCTAGTGATCAGGTATGGATTACTTGTCGTTTGTTGTTTGATTTAAAAGACGAGTTGAAAGGCACCATCCGTTTCAGCATTTCCGGAGGCTGAAAAACAAGACCAGGTATCAGCTTTTATTGATTGCACTGACACACCCTGGAGTACACTTCTACATCACTGTAGCAAGGTGAAAAGTTGAACTACTGAAGGATGAGTGCTCAGTGTGATGAGCACATACAACAGTCAGTATAAGCAAAGAAGATTCTTTCTATCAATAAATCAAAAGTGTTAAATAACATCGACAACATAAAAAGGGGAAGTGTTTTTGGTCCAATTAACAAAGTTACAAACTAAGATCAGTACTGGTTAAAAGATGAGACTGGAAATATTCAAAACCAAAACCAACAACGTATAACTCTGTGTCTCAATACTTTGAGACTACACTTCACTGTCTGTCGCTGTCTGCCCCTAGCCAAATACTTCCTACTGAAGAAGTAAAAAAACCCTAAAACAGGTCACTAATAACTAGTCTAATTATTAAAAAAGGCTAAAATGTACCTAAAATAGTTGGACACTGTAGCTATTACTCAGACATAGTGTATTTGTTGGGGATTACTTTCTGTTCAATTTATACTTATTGTGGATGATGTCTGTGTGATTGACTCAAAATAAACTACAGGGTCAGTCAGTGCAACAGGAATAAGAGAGGAATAAGGTTTGTCAGGCTTTGGCTACACAGACACTGCTTTTCTTCTAGAGATTTGTTAACACAAAGTATTATAATAATAGAATATAGAACATTATCAGCTTCATCCATATTCTTTAACCTATTCTTCATCCATTTCAACAGAAATCCTTTGTAAACACTACAGTGTATGTATACCACAAGCCTTTGGGATAAGGGCATAAAACGTGATACAAAACAAAACAAAACCATTCAGCATCAGTTTTCTTTCATGTCAATATTTCCAATTCAATTTATGAAACACAATATTTGAAACACCAATAGTACAGCTGTGTGCTGCAGCAATGTAGAATACTGTGAATGTCCAATTGTATCAATGTGAGTTAGAGGATTAGTGAGTGTGAAAAATAAACAATCTGTCCAGTTTCATTAGAGCTATATGACAGGAGAGAGAAATGGCTCCCCTGTGTGAAGTAATAACCACAGACTGGCTTTCTGTGAAACAGCTGGAGAGTCTGGAAGACTCACCAGGACTAGAAAAAAAGAGTCAGAGATTAATTCTTCCCCCAGATGATGGCACACTGTGTCAGATGTCTGAATGCTTTATGACCCTCTTGAAATGAATGAAACAGGGAGGAGATGATTGCAGTGTGGTGTATTTCATACCAGGCCATCAGAACGGACTGCAGATCTGTGTGGGTCTGGTCGGTGGGTCTGGGACTGGGGTAGCATGACAGGTTTAGACATGACCGGAACCATCTGACGCCTCTGGTTAGGGGGACTAGGAGCTAGTTGCTATTGAGGAAAGACCATGTTTCCATGCAACAGCTGTGTATAAGTTTGTATTTAAACAGGATGGGTCATTTTACAACAAAATCGTTGTACACACTTTATAAAGCTTATAAGTATGACTTAAAAGGAAGGGAGTGGTTGCAACAGTTGACATCAGATTTTTTACAGACTCAGACTCACCAAAGGAGAGCTCGAACTGGAAATTCGACTGGCATGGGAGGTATTTCTCATTACCTGAACCACAGTAAAATAAAAATGAATCTCTCAGCCCTCTGGCACAAACAGAGCACTGCAGAAATAGCACACACCCAGAGTCACTCACATCAATGCATAACTAGATGAACTGCAAATGTCCAAGCAAAGGCCAGCACACGCATTTAAAAAAACAGAATCAGCTATAACATGCTTTCCGTCACCACTACACACCAAACAACGCTCCTCTAGGTATAACAAACCACACAGCTACAAGCATTTCTGATTGCATTTCCCTCAGCTAGAAGAAAATTGTAAATGACTGCCCAATTGCATGCTAATATTGTGTATCGCTCTCTTGTCATGCATAAAACATTCCAGTAAATAAAGCAGAATATGCACATACACCTGCCGACTGCAGGCCTTGGAAATGCATGAATTCTCTGAGCTCTATACATATTAACTGATGCAACTTTTTTTCCACAGATGGAAAAAAAGATCCTCGCCATCCATCAGTTAAACACACAAAAAGGAAAAGCCACTCAAACACATTATCACCCTCACATGAGAATCTCTAACCTTTGGACTAGAGGGGTAGGACATTTCACTGGCGTTAGACGAGTAAAGTCCTCCTCTAGGGAGATAGCCGCCTGCCTCCCACTCGCTCCTGTGCTCTGGAGGACTGGGAGGATGTTGGAGGCGATGGTGATGATGCTGGCGGTACCCGCTGAGAGTTCCTACACGTTCCTCCGAGTGTTGCGGGGGTGGGGGCGGAGGCGGAGGCGGT